GAACTTCAAGCGTATTAAATACACGCATGAAAATTAAACACAAAATAAATTGAAGTTCCGGGCTACGAATTACCAAACACAAAGCTAAAGCTGTCTCGCTGGTTCCAAGATAACTTAAATTCTATCAACAGATTAATGCTAACATATCTAATAGAAATAATTGATAACAATATTGATAATTACTCATTCATTCAGTTGGCAAAGTCTTGATATAAACCTCGAGTTTACTCGGCAACGTGAGGTCGCCACGGATGACAAACATATGAACTCTAAAATGAACAGAATTATTGCAGAGATAATTTTAACGTATCGGAAGGGGATATATTGCCTCGGTGCAAAACTTGGTAGATAAGTGTCTCAGTAGTATTGTCTACGTGTACAACTTACAGAACGAGAGAATTTGACAAAAACATCGCACATCAAGACATCAAACGAAAGGAAACTCGTGGTCATGATTTTACTGCCTCAACATTAATGTCCTGGGCCTATACTTTCAATAAAAGTTAAGAGATCGTAAGTTCATCAGCCAATCATTGACGGCCTTTCAAGCAAAATCCACCAATCATAGACAAGAAAATAGAGCGTAAGTACTTACGTCCATTTAGCGAGCTTCGAAAGTATGGCCCCTGAGCCTCAAAGTTCATGTAAAAACCGTGAAAGCCTAGCGATAATATTCACCTGAAAATGGCTCGGCCTAACACCGCAACGGGCCATTTATCAGATAACGCAAGTCACTCGCCATGTGTACGCGACCATACAACTGATAGGACCATCTCAGCCACGTATTGATCGGCTACACTTAATCGAACTCGTTAAACCTATTCGTAGCAATTATGAGGTCGTTATGTAGGTTATGAATCCTGTTAAATAAACATAACATACGGAGCGGTCACCACACACGAGTCGGGCACTTATACAACTTCGGCGTGGATCTATATACGTATATGTGCGTAGATCCGAGCAAAATCAAAGATGTAACATAAATTTTCATGAAAATACTTACAAATGCGTATGAGATAATGGTATATTTAAAGTCTCGGCAATTCGAATTATAGATGATGGAAAATTAATGCATTGTATGAAACAATATATGGTTAATCCGTTCAAATACAGTTAATACTAATTTATGTGATTCCAAGCAATCATAATCTTGATTGGCACAGACAATAAGGGATATGAGGCCATTTCCTAAAGTGACATCTGCCTTTTTACTCAACGATGAACAGTATCTTAAAAATTTCACTCAATAATTATGTACGCAAAAAACAGGCAATTTCTAACCCAATAATAACAAGGAACCATGAGTACCAATGAAAAAAAAAAAACATTTCGGACGACTGTTGCAACATGCAGCTGCACCATGACACGATAGAAAATAACCCGAAATTACTCTTCATTATCCCGTAAGTCCGAATTAAGAGGAAAACGAGTTCCAGAAATGTTCGCATCATGCATGGAAGTGAGCGCCACAAAGAAATTGAAGGAAGATTCAAGCGCCAGCTGCAGAACATCCGGCGGTATAGAGCCTGGCAGAGCGCAGCGTATCCATGATACGCTTGAATGTGTATATACAGGGTGAACCAGAATTAACTGACCCTTTTAATTTGATAATAAATAAAAAACTAAGAACGTTATGAAGGTGAAACTTGTTTTATTTAAAAGAAGAATATTTTTTATGGTAATATTGTATCCTAGTTTTTAGGATACAATAACTAACTAGGATACAATATTACATACAATATTTTAACTAATTCATATTATTAAAACATAATAAATATTTTAACTAATACAATAAAAAAATATTGTAATAGGATACAATATTTTAACTAGGATACAATATTACCATAAAAATGTTCTTCTTTTAAATAAAACAAGTTTTAACTTCATAACATTGTTAGTTTTTTATTTATTAACAAATTAAAAGGGTCAATTAATTCTGGTTCACCCTGTATAAGCACAATCCCCGTATTTCTGCAGTCACATATACGGCGTCTGCAGGGCTATAGCGAGCTTACCCGGGTTTTAATAGAAGTAAATAAGAGACCGTAATTTTTTATCATCATCCATCCACGAACGGAAATAGTTGTAATTAGTGCTAGAATTGATCCGTACGCTGGGTGAAGGGTTAACGAATGCAGTTGAGTACCATATATTAACTTGATCGATTAACTTCGTTTACAGCTCCAACGAGAAAAAAAACACTAATCAAAATTTACGTTATTGAGATCAAAGTAAAAAAAATGCAATCATGCGTGTCGGGGTAATTAACTATAAAGTACATACTTAGCACAGATGGTAGAAATAACTATGTACTTAAAATAAAGGTTGAATTGTCCAAGTTATTTTCACGGAACAACAATCACATACGAATTATTCTTTTGAAAATAACAAATACAATCTTCGGTACAAAAAATTGCAGCGCACATCACAAATTAACGTTAAAACATTAATCTTGGAAACCGAAAAACTTGTGTCAATAAAATGTCAACTTGAAAGTTAATCTGCAAGTTGCATAACAAATCGTAGAAAGTTATTTAATGCAAGCGTTCGAGTGATTTAGAGTCATGTAATTCAGTAAGCAATATAATGTACGGAGGAAATCAAGCCAGAAGTACGGAGTAATGTTGATCTTAATCAATGTATAGAGTAATCAAACCCTAGCTGCGGAGCTGAAATCGATAAATTCAAAGTTTCAACTTTATTTTATTTATTACTTTTTTTTTTGCTATTCAGCCCGCAATTTTCTTTTCCTAAGGATGCGAGGTTTACATTCTTCGTGGTGAAGTAAGGGGTTCAAATGTTCCACATCCCACGGGATGTAGGGGGATGAGGTACGAATGTACCATAACCTCCGGGATGATGGAGAGAAAAGGTTCAATAGTTTCGCATCCCCCGGGATGAAGGTTCAAAAAGCCCAGCATTACATATAAATGCAGGTGACGTGATACAGGGGGCAAGGGGTCGTATTTAACGACCACAGCTGTGCGCCTCGCTCATTAGGCGTGTTATGCATCGCATGGTCGCTGCAGGCTTCATTTGGTAGCAAAAATTACCGGTCGATACGCAACATTTTCGCTGCGACGCGTCCGTAAAATACGGTACTTTGCTCCAGCCCGCGCTGAACGAACACTGCAGGGTGGCCGGTAAAAGGACTAACTCGTTATTCAGAACTTATAATTTATGTGGGGGCAATTAACAGTGCTCCAGCAATATGTATTAGCTTAGGAATAACTTGAATATAGGTACTTCTCGTGGTAGGAAATAGACGCTTAATAATAATGAGGAACAGTTTTCCTAAGAATCCAAAGCGTAAATGTTTTAGTGGAAAGTAAGATGTAACATGACTAAAATCAGAAATATAATGATAATTGCCAAACGTAGAAATAAATCGAGAAATCAGTAGATTTTTATTTTCAAAACTTGGATACATTTTCAATTTAAAGAACTCGGCCTACATTTTCACGACTGGTTGAAAATTGTTCGTATTTTTGACGCAAAATTGGAAGCTCATCATTGAATGGTGCTTAGGAAAATTTTACGGGTCATTAAAGGTCACAGAGACCAAAAATACTAGTTACTAGAAATACTATTACTAAATACTAGATAAACTATTAGAATGAAATACTAATGGAGCAAGTTTTGTGTCTAAGTTGGAATGAAAGACTTGAATATGTGAAATTTTGGACCATTATTTAATTGCATTTAATGGAACTGTATAGTGCCCAAAACAGGAGGCAGAGAAAATATGATTTACCCTTGATACAAACAATAATATATGCGTTATATTAGTATTGCGAGTCCCACACAAACTTCACAGCACGGTGTCCCCGTTTTGCAAAAATAATGCATAATTTCGTTGACATTCAGAATTAAAGAATGAACCTGAATCAACATTTTCGTAAGTGATTAAAGACTTGTCTCCATTCAAGTAAAACCAGTTCATGAAGTTTCTGTATACATATCTCGATTGTATCTCACTAAAATTACTAGATTGCGCAAATCCCGAATGAAAAAAAAATTAATAACAAAGAAGATGACACTGAAATTCACCAATTCTTTATAAAGTAAAACGTTTGAGAGTCCCGCTCCATCGTCATTTCGACATCCTTTCTAGGTTTGTCGAACTGGCGATGAAGCTGAACTCCAAAACATTTTCCTTTTAAAAAGATATGGTGAATTTCTGTGCCATCTTTGTTTTTAAATTATACATGATAATTACATCTTGCATTACAAAAAAAATTTCACCCCCGCCTTATAGACGCCCTCTTGTCGAATGTCTGTAGACAAACAAGTCTTGTAGCTACCATTAACCAACTACATTAAAAAGTATACTGATATACATTTTCATGAAATAAATGTTCAGTAACAGTAGCGCTACAGTTCATGCGATTAAATTTACCGTTTAGAGTGCGGGGAGTTGGGAAGAGACCGGCTGTGCTTCAAATCGGACGACGAATTCCCCATTTTGACACCAGTAATTAGAAGATGAACGGTTCAAATTTCAATAGGACTGGTTCCTACTCTAGCCAAAATATCAAGTGACGTTTCAAAGCATTAATAGGCTATACATTATGTATTTCAGTATGTAAAATATATTACAAGAAATGATTTTTAACACTGAACGTTTCATCAATAACGTTTCATTTCATATCCATGGAGGAAGTGTTGGAGCCCCTCAACTTCATTAGTTGAAAAGAGGAAAACTAGCACAATATTCATGCAATGTTGAACACTTTAGGATTGAACACTTTGGGACACAGTCCGTATGAACAAGGAGCTTATCGCGAATTCAGGAACCACTCCCGGCGTCTGAGCTAACTCATTTCCGGTGAATAAGCAAAAAATGCAAAAGCATTAAATGAAACGGCCTTAACAATAAAATTTCACATGCGAAAATAATCCGGAGCTGATCATAAACTTCAGAAAACATTTGCTTATAAAATCCACTGCAGTTGGCCGTGGATTATGTGTACTCCAGGAAGTGCCGGGATTTCTGTTACAGTCCAGCGGCCACGCATCACTCGCACCACCTCCTCCAACTGAAGCTCGGAAGCCACTGAGTTCCAGTCTACTCAGAAACTCCTGCGCGTTCTCTCGTTGGCGGCGTATGGACGCAAGCTCGTGGAGGGTGACTTTGTGCATGGTTGAACGTCACTTTCTTGTTACGTCACTGAGATCAGGAAACGTAAACAATACCGTCGTTCTCTTGACGGATTGGTTGACTTGTTTGATAGCATTTCGGTAAATGGTTATTGCCCGAGATGTCACTGAGATCAGTGACGTCACAGGCGAACAACTACTGTATCCGCAAAATTGAGCTTCTCATATGTCAACCTGACACTAGTTCAAAAATGACTTAGTGCACTTCAAAAACCGTAAATATTTTCTTTTATAAGTTGACCATGTTAATTCATGAGCCACTAGATGACGATAAAGTTACATTCATAACCCGATGTCGGTTCCTGACGTATTGAAAAGATCACAAGTAATATTATTTCGTCAGTGTACATATTGTCAAAAATTCTATAAGAGAAAAAAGGTTACGCGGCATAAACTCCTGGCAATAGAAAGAAATCAAGCCCTTCAAACGTGTGGAGATAATTATCACAATTTTTAACACACAATTTTTTCTTAAATTTAATAATAAGGGAATCAAATTAATAAGGAAAATAAAGCACGAGTCGACTAGGTTGCTGGCGCATTACAATACGTAAGATAAGGCGAGCTCTTGGCCGATGTTCATGCCACATTTGGTGATTGCACACAATTTCTTCCAGGCATTAATAATAAGGGAATGAAATTAATAAGGAAATTAAAGCACGAGTCGACTAGGTTGCCTGCGCATTACAATACGTAAGATAAGGCGAGCTGTAGGCCCGATGTTCATGCCACACTTGGGGCTCCTTCAAGCGTGGGATGATTGATCACCACGACAGCCCTAAATAAGAAGCTTAATGCGATCAAGGCAGCAGAGATTCATGCGTAGTTTCATTACGCGTTTGCCTCAGAATGGAGCGTGTGAATCTTGGGTGGTATATTCACTTCTTACAATGGGATTAAATTTTGGGCCTGTATTTTGAGTTAAATAACAATTTGTTAATCTTGTGGAGGTAGGTAAATTGTGCGTATTAATGTTTCATATTGAATCGTAATAAAATACAAACTTGGACATAACAATTGTGCGTATTTGTGTTCCAAGTTGAACGGTAATAAAATACGAACTTAAACATAATAATTGCGCGTATTATTGTTCCCAGCTAAACCGTAATAAAATACGAACTTAGACATAATAATTGTGCGTATTATTGTTCCAAGTTAAACGGTAATAAAATACGAACTTGAACATAATAATTGTGCGTATTATTGTTCCCAGTTGAACCGTAATAAAATATGAACTTGAACATAATAATTGTGCGTATTATTGTTCCCAGTTAAACCGTAATAAAATAAGAACGTGGGCATAACAATTGTGCGTATTAGTGTTCCTAGTTAAACCGTAATAAAATAAGAACGTGGGCATAACACTTGTGCGTATTAGTGTTCCCAGTTAAACCGTAATAAAATAAGAACTTGGACATAGCAATTGAGCGTACAGTATTAGTGTTCCAAGTTAAACCGTAATGAAATTACACCTATAGGCATAACAATAATTGTGCTATTTACGGCTGGAATGTGAAGCATAAAATGCGATTTATTGCAAACAGGGCCAACAAAAATGTTCCTAGTTAAACCGTAATAAAATACGAACTTAGACATAACAATAATTGTGCGTATTAATGTTCCTAGTTAAACCGTAATAAAATACGAACCTAGACAAAACAATAATTGTGCGTATTAATGTTTCCAGTTAAACCGTAATAAAATACGAACTTAGACATAATAATTGTGCGTATTATTGTTCCTAGTTAATCCATAATGAAATTACACCTATAGGCATAACAATAATTGTGCTATTTACGGCTGGAATGTGAAGCATAAAATGCGATTTATTGCAAACAGGGCCAACAAAGCGGATCATTTCTGTGATTTTTTTTCCGCAGCTCAGTTTGAAAAATACTTAAAGAAAACAATTTTACACTAAAGAATATCGATGCGGTATTCACGTAATATACAATAAACGCGATAAAACAATTATAGACACTGCCATACAATTGACCAGGGCTAAAAATTCCTTGCATGCTCACTGTTATTATTGCGATGATATAATATTAATACGAATCACTAATATCTTGATATAAGGAAATGTTCAATTTGATTTGATTAACAAATATTTTTCATTATTTAATATAAATATATTAGGGATTAATTTTTGTAATTGATCAAAAAATTATTGCTGTATATCACCTCGGTCAGACGGCAGTCATTTTATAAGCAGCATTCACACGCAGACGGGAAATTTTTCCCCGTTGCAGGAATTTAGTCTTGAGTTCTGCAAAATCAAAACTCACATCTAAATTGTTTTTAAGATGCATTTCTCGTAACATTAAATATCGGCATCCGGTTGACGTTAGTTCACCTGGTAACTGTACTGCCAGACGTGACGTCGATCGACCATCTCGAATCTTAATAAACACACGTACATAACGCACCGCGTTCCGACGAACTCAATGACATTTTAATAACGGATTTTGAGGCGAACTTCTTCAGATTAGATAATTTTTTATTTCATTCTGGAAGAGCCATAGCGTTAGATTAAGATTAACGATAATCCTAATTGGGATTTAATTTAATTAAGTTTAAAGTTTAACGATAATCCTAATTGGGATTTAATTTAATTAAGTTAAAGTTTAACGATAATCCTAATTGGGATTTAATTTAACTACGTTTGAAGATTAACGATAACCCTAATTGGGATTTATTTAGTGTTCATTTCAAGGAAAGACGCGAACTCAGTCAATTCTGTGTCAGAGATGAGGAAGAAAGCAACTTGCATGAGGCAGCAAAACCAATAAGCCCGCCTCCCAAAAGTGGCTCCATGTCGCCAGCCCACAAATATCGATTGACAAACGAGCGAAAACGCGACGGGATTCTTCGTAACAGGATTTGTTTTTAGGTCCTCGCTTTTTAGAAAGATTTATTTTTTGGAATACATAATAGGATGCTTGTCGCTGACGGTAGACATCTAGTCGCAGCGACTTCATAAGAAGTTTGTCACTAGAAACTTGGTCATAAAATGCGAAGTTTTTCTCTGCAACACATGCAACTTTAAAAAACTTTATGCAGCAGTCTATTGGACTTGGTTTGGAAAATATCTTCTATATGGCAGTGGATATTTATGGATAGAGCGTCATCACCGGAGATCAAGTAAGATATTAATAACTTCAGGCTCAACTGATAAATATAATTGATGTAAAAATGAAAGCTAATGTAAGTAGCTAAAAAATCAAAGAATTCACAACTATAATTTTTAATTTAAATCTCTAAAGTTGCCTTCTTGCTCCCAACTACCCACCAGATATATAACGTTGAAATAAAGTTAGCTAAGCGTTTCAAGAGAATCAACGTAATTTTGCAGCAGGGTAGGTCCTCATCGGTTATACATCGTTTCACAGAACTCACGTAATTGATGTAATTTAGCTCCGATACAACCAACGCAAGCAGGTTTCATTTGAAGTTTTGCTTAGTTTTTATAATTTCATTGTGTGAATAAATAATTCGACTGTTGAAACCACTATCATCCGGTAATTTTTTGCGTTAAAAGAGATGTGCGTCAGTTACGAATTTTTACAGGATGCAGCGGGATTAGTATAATTTTGAATTCTGATGGTAAACTTATCATAATGTAACATTAATATCCATTATTGAGCGTGTCTTCAAATCGAACTACAGCAAGCACAAAACTGTGATCAGAATATACACAGCTTATATCTCAATAACCAGTCGAGAAGTGAAAGTTAAAGAAATCTAGAAACATGCAAGGGTTCGATTCAATTCGAACTGCTCCACGATATTTGCACAAAACAATGATTCCAAGGCTCACGATAATTAAAGAGTTAGCGCAATTTATTAAATTCTCACGCTAACGAACAGAAACAATTAAAACATAAACGTCTATTCATTTGTTTATCAATAAATAATTCAATTATGTTTAGTTTAATTTGTATTTCATCTATATAGTTGAAATATTAACCGATTTTTCTAGCATTCCAAGATTTTGCGTACAATTTGTACATTTGTCGACGGAGTACATTTGGGGTACTTTGTCGACGGAGTACATTTGGGGCGCATTTGTCGACGGGATAAATTTGGGGTATATTTGTCCACGGGGTAAATTTGGGGTACATTTGTCGACGGGATAAATTTGGGGTACATTTATCGACCGGGTACATTTGTCGACGAGGTACATTTGGGTACATTTGTCGACGGGAGAAATTTGGGGTACATTTGTCGACGGTCTTGGAACTCATGTTTGTTCCAGAATCATCATCAGAGAATTGAAGGTAGCGATATTCAGTGTGGGAGTTGTATGTGAGCTGAGGGCAAATTAGGCAAGCACACGAAGATCATGAGAATTCATGCATAAACTTTACGAGCGGATCTATACCCTAATGCAGAGAAAGGACGCGCATATATCGGAAGGCCCTGGCAGAGCGTCTGCCTGCCGGTAAGCATTGTATGCAAATGAGCGTCGATCATAATAGAGAGGAGAGATGGGCCACGATAGCAGCGAGACAGTCTCTGATCTATTGAGTGGGCGAGCTAAGGGAGAGGCGATACACTCTAACATGTATATTTATTATATTCCATTAAAAATATAACCGAAACACTTGTGAACGTGGAAACTAGAGGCATTAATTTCGAGTTTCAATTATATTTTGGAAATGGAGGCTTCAATAAAGTTTTGATTATTTCACGATATGAAGCGACAAATTTTGTGGAGTCCAACGGGAACATAGTAATATCTAAAAAAAACTAGCTCATCTTCGTGGCTTTGCTTTTACGTTGCCTATTTTCTGACGTGAAAAACCTTCATCATGCATAATAATATCGGAATATAAGTGTAATGCTTCTAGTATATAGGAGCGAACTAAATATTTAACGCACATCAAGACCGGCGACTCAACAAGGTAACTTCATCAGTAACGTGAGTCTCTGTGTGGTCAAATTAAATTTAGTTTAATTGTCCGGTTTTCAGATGGACACAATTCAAGATGTTATACCGCGCGCGATTCGCGTATTATAATAATCCGATGTCTCGGAAAGAATTGGCAAAAATTTCACAGCAGACGTCAACACAAAATCCTACAATTACATTAACGCACACCAATGCAAACACATGCTCCACACAAAGACAACCTTACATCACACAACTAGAGGCTTGGCTATCAGGCAACAGACTCGGAGTAGCCCCAGACAAAATCAACAAGCACACTACTAACAAACCACAAAAAGGAGCATCAACACAAATCCACAACCCCATTAAACAACACCCTCATACCACACACGCGAAACCATGATTCTAGGTGTCACTTACAACACTTCCATGTCTTCCGGGCCACATGCAGAACATCAAAACAAAATACAGACCTAGGCTAAACACACTCAGAGCCCTCACAACATTCGGACAGAACAAAGAAATCCTCAAACTAGTGCACAAACAATACCGACGCTCAATGCTGGCCTATGCAAGTCCAGCCTGGGCTGCCATAATTTCACCCACACTTCACAACCACCTACAAACCATATGAAATACAGCACTCAGAATCGCACTTGGCAGCCTTCAAACCACATCACCCAGCCACGTCCACGCAGAAACCAAAGTTTCTGGAAGAACACCTCAATATGAGAGGCATCCAATTCCTTGCATCAGCAGCATTCTGTAACCCCATGAGCCCCTGCCATCACTTTCAGCATTTACCCTTTACACGCAGGCAAATAGCTAACACTCCATACAACTTATACCTCACAATACTTGACTTCTTACCCCCGTACACAGACCCAGCAAACTTTATCAAACATACACATGAACGTCTACCAGAATGCACTCTAGAATCTACCAATAAACAACATCATAGACGAAATACCGCCAGACATCAGCCATGCGGAGCAGCAGTTAAACCGTGCAGACAAAGTGCACCTCAGCAGACTCCGCTGCCGTCACCATCCCTCACTAAACTCTTACAAACACCGCCTGGATAGCACTCACTCAGACCTGTGCCCCCAACGTCATGCACTCCCCCACACCGTCAAGCATCTTCTGCTTGAGTGCTCTGACCCGGCAGAATAGGGATGTTATGCCTGCTCCGGGCAGGCATAACATCCCTCGCGCAGCTTTAATTGGTCTGAGCCGGCTGGGGTGGTAGAGAATGCATCAATTCCTTCTCTTTCAGTTCGGTGAGCAAGGCTCTCCTAGTGATCGCTTTGTCCCATGGTTCTGTTTTCCTATGCTCCCGTTTTCCTATGCTCCTGTTTTCCTATGGTCCCATTTTCCTATGGCCCTGTTTTTCTATTTTCCAGTTTTCCTATGGTCCCGTTTTCCTATGGTCCCGTTTTCCTACGGTCCTGTTTTCCTATGCTCCTGTTTTCCTATGCTCCTGTTTTCCTATGCTCCTGTTTTCCTATGCTCCTATTTTCCTATGCTCCTGTTTTCCTATGCTCCTGTTTTCCTATATGGTCTTTTTTCCCTGCGGAAATAAATAGTAGTGGAAACCACTGTTGATCAAGTCGACGGAAAGCTCTGCCCTCGGCTTGCCAAAACCTCTCGTTTATCCGACGCATACACTGAATAGAAATATATTTTCTTATGTGTAAATTCAAGTTCACCTCCTTCGCTACACAGGTGTATCAGTATATGCGTATGGTGACCTTCTAGGAGCTACTTTTATTGACAATGCATAAAATTGTTCATTAAAATTGATTACTATAGACGAAAAACACAGACGAGCATAATCAAGATAATACATCGTTATCGTAAAATTATAAATATTTTATAAATAAATGGATTCTTTTGGAATAATTGAGCGTTTATTTTTCGTAGATCTGACCAATATGGCTGCTTCTCGTAGCTCACAAGTTGATCTAATTTACATTTCTGAAATTTGGTTGTTACTTTTATTTGTATCTTTTATTGCTCTCATTTTTGCTAGACCATTCATCATTCACGCCGTTGTTGTGAAGTAACTGTAATTTACCCATTAACATTGCAAGTCAAGTGGCTTTTGTCCTGAGGCTGCATAGCATAGTGCATACGGCATACCCTATTTAATAGTTAAGTACGTTATTCCTTGGCACAGTAAATGGAAAATTTTTATTACCTTTTAAAACAAATAATAGAAACTGATTTTAATTTGTACCAAGTGAATTTCTACAACTTTTCAATATAGCATGCATTCTGTCAAGGAATATTTTTCGGTTAATAATTTATTAATAATAATTTTTCACGGAACAGATGAACACGTTTAGATTCGAACGACACTTGCTCGCTTGAATCCATCTGTAATTTTGTTTAAATCCCATCGTTTCTTTGAACCCCAAAAAATCGCAAAATGCTTCAGTTTCTATTGTGCCTATTAGTAGATCATAATTATTAAGTCTTCCTCGTCAAATAAAAGAGTTAATGCTAAAAAACTGCGTTCTCTATTTATAAATTCGTTTTCTTTTTCAAGTCTCCAGCGGAGACATCTTCATTTGAAATGCTCCATTGTCCACTGTAGACTCCTCTACCGTGGAGCTTTTGAGAAGCAGCTCGTTACTTTTCAGGCATTTAAAATATTTAAAATATAATAAAAATATTGAGATACGGAATAATATACAACTAATAACTATCGAATCAACTATAAACAGCGTGACGTGTTTCGGTTCCAGCTTCTGGAGACTGACGACTGAAGTGAAGGCTTGGCCGCTTAATAATTAAAAGCCGCTTTAGCATTAGACGATATTGAAATTTCTTCACCGCTTAGCAAACTTGAAAAATTAATAATAAACACGTGAAATTACCACAAAATGAATAGTTGAGGTAGCAATTTTATTCATCCTCAATTCTCGCGGGAATAATTAGTCGCAACCTCTGTTAGCGATGCCTATCATCCTATGGTCCATTTCCGCTTACAGGACAAAAGTTAAGAAATGAAAGTTAAATGATAGTGTTATGTAGACATCAAGAAGTTGGAACTCCCATTACAATTTTATGTATATAACCACATAATAAAATGCTATGCTGCTTATTGATCGAATCCATTTTGTTTATTTTTTCGTGGCTATTCGAGTTGTTCTTTGTAATTCTATTTGATCTCACCTATTTGGCGCAGGCGCCGTTGACTCGCTTTCCATCTTCTTCTCACGGAGTTTATCAAGTTCTCTTCTTTCTTGCAGCAGTTGCTTCTGCTGTTGCTTGTACCTGCAGTTGTAAAACTCAATTACTTCAACTTCAACGATTTCCTATTACAAATTAATTGCGAACTAATTATTTGAAAAGCCAACTTCCACCTCTGAACGAAGTAGTATTAAGCCGACTGCTTTGGGTATTAACAGTGATTCTCCGCGAAATTAAAAATAGTTATAGTTCCGCTTTAATTTCTAAGAAGTTTACAATTTTAGCCTCGGATAAAAATTTAGGATAACGGATAGAAAATTTAGTTTAAGTGTAACTTAATAATTTATGAAACGAAAGAATTAATTTTTCAATAGATCACATTGAAGTTAACTGTAGAACATTCTTACTTTATTTAGAACATTTACTATACAAAATTCGCTCAATTATTTGACTTCCATGAGTCCCCAAATATATTTATAGATGTCGAACACTATATAGGTACGCAATGGTAACACGGAGATTGGCTGCACGATTGTGGGTAGCAGTTCATTCATAGTAACCGTTTGTACAACAGGTACAAATAATTCATTTGTATAGTAAAAACGTTGTATAAAATGTATAATAATATCAGTTTGTGCAACAGGTACAAGCTATTAATCATGAACTGTAACTGTAAAATATCTGCGTCCGTAAAGCAGTACCAAGTATAAAACATACTACCCGTCCGCACAACACGCGAGTACAAAAAATTATCCTCTGGGAAGCAGTATGATTATATAAACTTACCCGTGTGTACAGCGTAAAAAAATTACGTCCGGGGAGCAGTTCAAGTATAACGAAATACCCATTTGCCGTCTGTACAACAGGCAAGTGTAAAAAATAACCGTCTGGGTAGCAGTCCAAGCATCTAAACACAACAGTTGGTACATCAGGTCTAGTATGAAAAATAACCGTCTGTCTAAGTAGCAGTTCAAGTATATAAACACAGCAGGTCTAGGGTAACAACAACATCGCAGCGCACCTGGAGAGGGCGAAGAAGAGCGACAAGACCGCCTTGAGGTTGCCCTCTTTGACGTCGCGAGCGGTGAAGCCGTCGAGTGCCACGCCCAAACCCGACAGAAACACAAGGCATGCGTTGATGTTCTCAACCTGCAAAGATAATGCAACGAATAAATAAAGTAAGATTTTTATATTAGGGTAATGTTAGAATACAAGATTTCAGTTGCTTTCCACATGCAACTGAAATTAAGGAGTGTAAATCGGAGCCGTGAAAACGTTCATTACATCATTTTAAAACAGAGGCGTGACTTGTAGTTGAAAAAGAACTATATATTAATGAATCGAGTCGCAGATGAAATATTATGAAGCACAGAGCAAGTTTTTCGCAAGCATAAAATTTCCCCTTTAATATTAATAAATTGAAGGACAACTTAGTAGGAAAGGTTAACATTTTCCTACCTTCATATTTACATATTTTTTCAAAGAAAATACAAAATAGCCTTGTCCTCAAATTAAACGCTCGCATAACCTTGTCTAAGTTGGCGTACTTTGCGCTTACTTTATTTGACAATAATTACAGGTATTATAAGCAGTTGACAAAATACTAATAAATATTACATTTTACTCTTCAAAAATTCATTCAGCGACGTTAAATTCACTGACTGGTCCGATTTGATAAAAATATTGTACTTAAAAACGCGTGAGAAACTAACTATATTGGTCCATACCAGAGCTATTAAATTCACTACATAATCATTAATTAATTGAACATCAATAAATTCATCGCAATACTCTAAAAACATCCAAAAATTCCGCCAGTATAAAGAAATTAAATGGTACCAAGCTTGAAACTACTTCATGATTTCGTCATTAAAGGCGATACTTATTATGCTGCACGTTGCGCATAATTCAGCAATTATGCTCGGAATTTCTCAGTGCAAAACAATTTCAGAAGGCAACAAATAAAACATTTAAAATAAGTAAAATGCGAGATGATTAATTGTCGCTTAGTTTCTCACTCACTGAAAGCAAGTTCGGGACTCGTACATGAACTATGATTTCAGAAATACATACCTACTTGCACAGTCATTTACTCTTTGGCTTGGCACACTTCTAACCAGTAACAGACCATTTTGAAACGTATATACTAATTTCGAGAAATCCATTCATGTAATTTTTCGCAAAATTGTAGACTGTTTTGTAGACAGACCATTGCGTTTGTGCGCAGTCCATTACACGCAGGGAACGAGGCCACCCACACCCTCTCACACGGCCGTCATCGCAATTTGCCGCACGTGTCCAACACGGAATTACCGTGCAGAGTATATTATATATATTGCTCGGTGCTGTATCTGTGGTCGTCCGTCCCGAGAATACATCACTTAACATGACTACCGAGAAGCTGAATCACAAGATTCAGCACCCAAAATAAGGAGTAACACCGTAGAGTGTCAAAGTTACAACACGGAATTACCGTGCAGGGTATATTATATATATTGCTCGGTGCTGTATCTGTGGTCGTCCGTCCCGAGAATACATCACTTAACATGACTACCAAGAAGAAACGCTTTAATTGTTACGGAACTATTGCATGAAATTGACCAGAGTGGGATTCTCTCCGAAATAGAACTCAATGCGATTTGTTTTGTAATCAGACAGTGAAAGTGAATATCGAGCAATGTTGAGTATGTTCTCAGGATAGCGATGCCGATCAAGCCAAACCTGTAAATAATTCATTCACATATCTGTCGATAAAAATGTTCTTAGTTAAATGAATTAATTATTCTTTTTAAGAATGAAAATGAATAATAAATTTTTGTAATGAGGCTAACATCGAAGATTTCAGAGCAAAAATTTTTTATTTTTGTCACAGATCCTCGCCCAAGCAATCGTTTACCAAGTTACTGACTCAACAAGAGACACAAACGTCAAGACATCCTCGCTAGAAACATAAAGTATTCGCTTGAGCAAGTCGACCGCTCAAGAACATCGCTGTTAAACAATTAAGACATTTAGGCTTGCTCGCCAAAATTAGACACGTGCAGCTACGGCATGACTACGTTTGCATGAGATAAAGCGATACGAGTACCAACAGTTGTCATTGAGAAATACTACACTATAGTATTCAGGGCCTATACTTTCAAAACTCGCTAAGTGAACGTATGTATTTACGCTCTATTTACTTGTCTATGATTGGTGTATTTTGCTTGAAAGGCCGTCAATGATTGGCTGATGAACTTACGATCTCATAACTTTTTTGAAAGTATGGGCCCAGAAGTAGTACAGTATTCAATGACAAATCACTGACTGGTCGTGGTTAATGTCAAAGCTTATGACAGCACAAGCTAGCATTTCATAATACACGCTCACTTCATTATTAGCATTGGTGATGACAAGCCAAACTTGCTCTAATTCGGGTGTCAAAAAAACGGGTAGGTTCCTTTTGCCGGTGTCGACTTGTATGAATGAGCGCTAATTTTCACTTAATGTGTCACTTTTCGGATGTTAAACAAAAACTATCTAAAGTCAATTCTGGTATTCACATCAACGCACCGAGTTTCTAGTCTTCAATGGCCCTTATTGGGGCAAGAAAACGAAATAGGAAGTGACTTTTTACCGCCACGAGACGCCCAGATGAACATCAAACAAAAGCTTCAGACCAACACGCGAAGTCAAACAGGGACTTTTCAAGACACGCACGCGCAGCTTCCATCATAAACACAAAGTCCTAACTTTAAACACTGAACCATCTTGGTGCAGGTAAGGGACTTTCGATATGATTTGAAAAATGATTACCCAAATGATTGTGCTGCGACGACGCTTTTTGCGAGATGATCTAACATAAACTGTCCTCGTATTTAGCCTCGAGTATGTCAATGAAATAGATCTCGACTATTCGCGTAATTTTTGTGTGAAATTATCAAGTGAAAAATAGACGTTAGCTAAGGACTATCTGGAAGAGTATCTTCACATAGTTATAGATAAAATCCATGATGGATTTTCATGGGCTGTGCCAATTAGAAGCCACATAAAAAATTCGACTTCCATGTCAGCTTATCACAAGTTTACCAACAAGAATATTTTGCGATTAATGTAAATTGATGAAAATTATTCCAATATGATTTGATTCTTCAGGTCGGCACTGAACCAATTTTATGAATGAATTCTGTATTGGATTTGAAATCAATAGAGTATAAATTCTTCATATATAAATTTCAAATCAATAAAGTATAAATTCTTAGGAAAGTACCTTTCGAAATTTCATAGGTTTTGCTGTTAGATCGAAGCTATAAATACTGAAGATCATATCATCCCCCATACGGCAACAGGAAAATGACGATATTCGGAAAAAAATTGTTCATGGAACTAGAAAGTTTTGAAGGCAAAAATACAAAAATATTGAAACAAATCAGACGACAAACAAAATCATTCCAAAAACTTGATAACGATATAAGTCGATGTTTTAAGGTCAAACATTATAACATGTATAAATACTAACAGCTGCCGCAAGTAACAGGAACAGCGCACGAAAGTAGAAGTAGGTAACGGCTAACCTAACCTAACCTAACCTAAGCTAACGAAAATAACATAAAGTAACAGCTGACGAAAATAACAGCTGACATCAGTAACGGTTTATAACAGCTACTATAAATAACAACATGCAACAGCTGATGAAAATAACAGTAGGTAAAAGCTGACGAAAGTAAGTTGGTAGCAGCTGACGAAAATAACAGAAAGTAAAATTGACGAAAGAAGCAGTTCGTAACAGCTAACGAAAGTAACCAAATGTAAGTTTGCATCAGCTGATGAAATTAACAAAAAATAGCAGTAGGATAATGGCTGACAAAAGTACGCTGGTAACAGCTAATTTAAGTAACAGAAAATGACAGTAGGAATCAGCTGACGAAAGTTATTTGGCGACAGCTAACGAAAGTATAATAGAAAATAACAGTAGGTAACAGCTGACGAAAGTAACTTAGTAGAAGCTGGCGAAAGTAACAAAAAATCGCAGTAGGAATCAGCTGACGAAAGTAACTTAGTAGAAGCTGGCGAAAGTAACAAAAAATCGCAGTAGGAATCAGCTGACGAAATTTATTTGGCAACAGCTAACGAAAGTATAACAGAAAATGACAGTAGGTATCAGCTGGCGAAATTTATTTGGCAAGAGCTAACGAAAGCATAACAAAAAATAACAGTAGGTAACTGCGGACGAAAGTTAGTTGATAACAGCAAATGAAAGTAGCAGAAAATAACTGAACGAAAGTAGCTAAGCTGGGCTAGCCGCCCCAGGTGAAGCTACGTAACCCAGGCATATCGCGGTGCCTCTAAGAGCCTAGTCATGCCAAGGCTGAGGCTGAGGACCATAAATATTTACTTCACAAGAGGGCAGCTCCGTCCCATCTGGCATGCTACCATTCCACCACTAAAATAAGTGTTAAATCTACAATAGCATTTTCTAAGAAACAATAAAACGTGTAATTAAAATCGTAAGTAGAAAATTTTATCTATATGGGATATAACAGGAAACTAATTCCAATCGTATTACTGGGTATATTGTCCGCTTAGTCTTAGTATGATTTTCCAAGCGTTATAAAATGTCGATAGTTTTTACAATCAAACTTTATTTTTATTCGATTTCTTATAATCGAAAAATGAAGTCAACACTTAAAAATTAGAATTCTAATGTTATACTTAATTATATATGAGCTTAATTAATGTTTCAAAATCATATCTGGTGAGAGATAATCAAGCTCGGCCGAATTGAAACTTTTCTCGTCTGAATTTGAGTCTCGTCTGAATTAGAGCATTAATTTACTTAAAATTCTCTCAACAAATATTCGCATTAGACACATTCTGATTGCCTGTTGAATAACAATTCACACTTGAAACCACAAAAAATCAAAACTGAACTCCTATATTATGCTATAGTTGACACATACTTCTAGAAAATATCAGCATTCATTAATAATATCATTATTATCACTGTAAAGCGTCCCTGTCTAGACGCTCGGGAGCTCAAAAAAAAAACCACACACGTTTTAATAACATAGTAAATACCAAACAAACTAGTCTCAAGTTTGAAGAAGCCATGTTTAAGAAAATAACAGCAGAGCTAAAAAATTGCATTTTACTAAATTTAAATTTTATATATTACCGATCTAATTTAGTAAGATTCCATTTCTTCGATTTATTTCAAATGTGATAGGCGAATACGCACAATTTACAAAAAACTTGTGAGTTTAAAAAAAGTATAAAATTTAATGGTAATCATTTAACAAGATCGTGATAATGAAGAAGAACTAGGTGAAAATTCATAACGAAATAGCGAATACTCACCATTTGAGCGGAACCTTTTGGTTTCTTGACGACATCGGGAACTTTGAGACCAGCTGTAAGCGAATAAAACTTCAATTATGTAAACAATTTGCCGTATTTTAAAATAATTAGATACGCCAGAACTTTTTCAAGGTAAGAATTACACAGCATTGAATAGATTGTATTTAGATCAGATTTTAGAAATGTTCGAGGTATGTATAAGGATTGATACATTTTTAGCAATTTTTAATAATGAGACAAGTCAGACAACATAAGAAATCATTTCATAGAATCAGCTTTGTTTTAGATTGAATAATTCACAGTTAAAAGATCACTAAGTAATATAAATTCGAATTATAAATAGAGTTGGAAGTGGTTTGCTACATAAATGATCTCGTATTTCACTCGTGATTTTCCACCAAGAATCATCAGGAAAACAATTAAGAAAAAATTATCACTCACTGACGGCTTCGATGACGTCAGCAAGAATCGTTCCATCCATGACGTCATTCTGCAGGTCGGTGATGTGGCGGCGACTGCGGCTCTTCTGCAGGTAATGGTTGGCCCAGTCCGTGTAGATCTGCACAATATTATAATAAATATAAATAATAATTTATAAATAAAACCATAATCCAATGAATGCATGTTAAACCCTTGAAAATACATGATTGAATGCATGATGAACCAAGTTCTACATGCGTAGAAGGCAAATTCCGCGAAATTATCAAAATTTACAAGTGGTTAATAGGTCGATGAATGACGTACGTATTTATTTCGTCCAAAATTGACCCTATGAGACAGGCAAATGCAAATTGTACAAGAATTCCAAATACTTAACCGTTTTAGAAAAATGTGTAGAAAATAACAAGTGTAGAAAATAACAATAAACGCATGCTAGAGAGACTATCGTAGTTGAGGGCTTTCTAAGTTAAACTTTCAGCGACATCAGAAATTTTATTTCATCATTTTTTAATCGGAAATTTGTTCACAGTCTTATTAAAATATAATCTGTAAATTATTCGCACTTGTTACGCCGCGCCACATTTTCTTCGCAAGCTGGCCAATAGTTGAATTAAAATAACGTACACGTTTACTGGGTGCACTGATTATTATTTTCAAATGTAGCATGATTCAAGCATCAAATGATACAAAATTGCGGTTATAATTATTATAAATTTAATACTACACTGACGACTGTACCCTGTACAGTCTACAGTCGTCACATATCCAGTACCCACTGCACAGGCCCTTTAAGTAAATCTTTTAAAAAATGGGGATAATTATTTTTTGTATAGGATGCAAGAACTAGCGGACAATAAATTATTGAGATATAATTTATAATTCTTTCGAAGCTTCTATCAATATAGTTCTATGAAGAAACGAAAAATTTTTCAATACAATCAACACGAGATATTTCATGACATCTCATGATATGTATAAATATCCTACAGTCAGAGAGTTTCACCCAGAGTAATAAGTGCGGTGATTGTGGCAGAAATGTCTTCATTTTTCTCTTAATTTGAAGGTTCCCTCTCTGGCCTTCCTCACAATACCGTGGAAGCTTCTCTAATTATCTGGAGAGCGGCGCGGTAAAGCGAACATGTCACTACCAGAACATCCCTCCGAGGCACTCGAGGGAGAAAACAGCACCGACTCACCCAATAGGTGACTCAGGCAATGCAATAAAAGGTGTGATGCACTTAGGAGTAGATGCTATTCAGAGAGTAGAACTCAACATAAAACCAAAAGCATAAATATTCTTGAGATTTAGAATCTCTTTCATAAACGAAGCTTGCAAATAAAATAATTTCTGAAGCACAATCACATTTCCAACACACTCGATCACGTAGATCGAAATCGGACAAGTACACTTGACCAGAAAAATAAATTAGATTTCTAACACAAGTCTAATAAGAAAAATTTTACAACTAATCAAAAATACCGGTACGTCAACAAAATGAACGTTTAAGAGCTTTGGCTCCCATAATAAACTGTTACGTACGCGTACTCAAATGTAAAATTCAACACCTCAGCTGTCACAGCAACTATAAAACTATATAATTTATTCAGTATAATATCTCGGTGAGCAAACGTCAGCAGTGAAGCTTCACTAAGCCAACACCTCGTAACAAATTATAACCTAAAACTCCCATACGCCTTCGTTTAGGTGGCCGCCTATTATTCAGCTTCCATTTTCATTAGGGTAGCGAACGTGGTCATATTGCTTGGTGACAGCAGCGGAGGTGTTGTGATAAGAGCGGTCTAGGGGCTAATTGGTTGTAACATCAGCCTGCGTGATGACCCTTGTCTTAATGAACGTAACGCAACGACGATGCTCGTTATGTGAGAAGCGATGATGCTTCGCCATGACTGGTGTTTGGATAAAATTTAATAAGTTATCACTAGTGGTAGTGGGTCACAACGACATGATAATTTTACTGATACCTTCGCTCGTTTCAATCGTTGTACAACTTTGGAAAAGTAATTAATGAACGGACAAAACGTATCCAAATGATACATGAACGGAAGATATCAACATTATTAAATCACTGATTGAAATGTGATCAATTAAATTTCAAGAAAACTTGTTGATTTGTAATTTTCAAGCCAGGAAGTATAAATTTGCATTAGGCTTCATGGAATATTCTAACGCAATTACAATGGTTATAGGAATGTACATGTACTAGAATATTAGGCAAGCTTTGCAAACGTTATTTAGGGAAAATTAAAGAGAGCAGGAAAGCTCCCCAAATATCATTCAATGATTCCGAATCAGAAAACCACACAAAAATACTCGAGAGATCCTGTTGCCAGACGAATAGAACCGTTGGGTCCTGTAATCGTGACGTTTTCAACCAAGTCAATGAAAAACTAAATGACTAAGATCGGTCTGACTTTGGAATGATCAATACAAGTTAGGAGCATTCGTGACTCAGCAATGTGGTGTTGCGACCACCGCTGGGAGGCCGATTGGGTATAGGCCTGTTCACATTGTTTGTTCCAAGGAATACCGAAGTGTCCCACGAAGCGTGAAAGTGAAAATTACAGTTTTTCCTTATTGTGATACTTTTTACACGATTTATATCGTCGTGAACACGACAATCAACACTCGACTTTCCTCAGATTTTGATTTTTAAAAGTATATAGTATTCTGTTCTTATCAACAGACGTTCGATTGTTGAGAGCAATATAGATAAAATATTAAAAGAATGATCATTAAATATTCTAGAATAAATCCGTATATTCAGTACCAGAAGATTCATCCATGCATTAGGAAATTCATAGCATAGAAAACATCAAACTACTTTTGAAACGGAGCATTCGTAACCCCGAGGAAGTTCTAGAAAAAGAAATTAACAAAATCAGTTGAAGCTTAGTCCGCGACCTTATGACGTCATTCCCAACTAATTTCCACCTCACCAGCACGAATACTGTCATATATGACATACGGCCTGCTATACACATATTGATAGCTAATCGCATTTAGTATAGAAATTAGATGACGAGCTCTTCTTCAATGACTCCTTCGGGACCGCTGCCCGCCCCGCCTCTACTAGCTGAACTCTGGCCGCTGTCACCTCTACTCTGCTACTCCCTCTCTGTACGAGAGACAGACGCCGCTCTGGCGAGCTTTGCAACCGACTTTTTTTGCATGCACAGTTAAAAGTAGTTACTGTCTCTGGAGTCCATTTAATTTTGAGTTTGGATTGTTGTGCGGTTCAGTAATATCGTAGTTGAGTAGTAATTGTCGAGTTTGGTTTACAGGTACCATTTCAAGAACATTGCATGCATTAAAACTTGATTTTCTTTCGTGTCAAACCACTTATAACATAATTAAAAAGTTCTTACGCGATATCACGTCCAAAACATTTTCATTGTTGTTATACTGAGAATGATAAATTTCAGAACGCCAAACCACTGTTACATTACATTCCTAACTCAATAAAAATAGCCCACAGAGCTACGGGTCAAAGCATATCACATTAATCAGTCATTGCAAGTCTTATGCACCGAAGTTTTCGCTGGCATTCACACACATCAGTTTCACCAGAAATCAAGTAGTCAGCTGAAATTGTGAAGAGAGCAATTAAAATGCTCGGAAGCAATCATAACGCACCAAGCTCAGCAAGTTAATCACGAGCTACTGTGATAATTACTTCTAGCGTTTGAGCGCCTTGTGGGCATTAGATAAAAAATCATGGCCCATAATATCATAGAACATCGCAATAATATTTCACCATTGAACCGGAAGTTCCAACAATTAAGAAACTGCCCACAAAGCCGCTTGTAATCAGGCACGGCACTGCTATAACAAAACCTCAAACGGGTTTGGCTCAAGTGGTAATCGCAGACCGAAATGTGAAAATTCGAGATTGTGCCAAATTTCCCTTGATTATACGTGACCCCATGTGACGACATATTGCACCCATGAGCGTGAATAGCGACTGTCACTTTCAGGGCATTGTAGGTGTGATACTGACAACATAATAACCTAATAGCCTGAGGCTCAAGTGTTTGAAGTGCGTATGAAAAAGACAGAAGAGCACTCTAAACTGTAACGCGTTTGACACGGTGTTCGTATGCCTTAAAAACTTGCTATTAAAGGGGAAATATACATTTGAAATCCGTAAAATTATTAGAAATAAAAAAGTTTTAGAAGAGAGTTAAAAATTGAAAGAATATTAAAATTCCATATATACGCAAAATATAATGTACATCACTTTCATGCAGTAAAATAATACAAATGAACATTAGTCCTTTGTATCATATATTAAATAGGTACATAGCATTTAAATATATATCAGTTATTATCTCTGCACGGTGAAACAGTAATCTGTACAAGAATTTGGAATTCGCATCTGTACAATGCGAAATTGAAGCAGAATAAAATCCACTTCTAATAGCCACTGCAGAGATTAAATATGAGCCTTCAAATACTTGATGGACCATCAACGCGTCTGGGTAGCGCCAATGAAGTCAAGCGAGGCAATAATTGCAGGGATGACTGACGTGTAAATTGAGTGCCGTCCAAACACCTCGGCATTTCTACTGGAATTACCCGCGGCGCCAAACTCCTGAGTGATGGCTAGTCTTCGATCATCTACTAGGATCAAAGAAGACTTGTTTGCGATCATCTTGTGTTGATCTTTATTGATCAAAAAGAATGTTTCTGCTATGATATTAAATGTACTCGCAAAATTTGTACAAATTTGCATTATTTGGAATAGGGGAGTTTGTAACTTGATGGTAGAAAAATATATATAATCAGTTATCGAAAAATCTCAGAGATACACAAATGATACGTAACCAATTAGTGCTGCTCTGTCTAGAAGTTATTCTTGATAATTAGAAATAAACCTCGCATACTCTCACCAACTTATACCTGCAATTCTAGCGTTTCTGTTGTCACCGGTCAAAAAATATCCGTTTATTTCGTTGTGATTAATCCTTGATTCAAAATTTAAAGAATATACATGAATCATAGTTCAATCAATCAATTGTCTGGATAGTAGTTGATAAAATTACGCATACAGTCATGCACGGCTTAAATTGCATAATTTATGTCTAAACATACATCAT